AGAGAGTTGGCTATTTTTTTCCTCTAGAGTTTTATTTTGGCTTTGGAGAACATTATATTTACTAATTATTTTTTTTAATTCTTTGAGACACTCCTTGCCATCTTCTTCTGTTTTAATTAAATTAGACTGAATAATGCTCTTTTCTTCCATCAGATTCTTAAGTTGTTTTTCATATGTTTCAATTTTCTGTATCAGAGATTGTGTGGTTAAGACAAGAGGTTTTATTTTGGTCTTAAGGTTTAGATTTTCATTCTCCAGTTCTGTTACTTTTTTCTGTATCTGCATAGATTCTTTTAGGTAATTCTGTAAGTACTGAATTTTTGCAACACACTGCTCAGTAACAGAATTGACTTTGGATGTTTTCTGATTTTCAAATATTATTGATCCTTGTTTTGCTATAAATGGTTGCCTTTCTTGGTCTTTCATGTCATGTTTTGTTTGGTCAAGGAATGACAGTGTATATCTTGGTACCCTGGAATGGAATTTTAAATCTGTAATACTCTTACCCGTGATAGGAATTTCCTTATTGTTTTTCTCATTCTTCTTTCCCCTATGTATTTCACTCTTAGATAATTTTTTACATTTCCTACAGAAATTCACATGGATTTTTGATACCATTTCCCTGAATGGGAGTAATTTATTTACTAATGCCTCTAATTCTGAAATCCTCTTTAATTTTATGTCTTCATTTAAGTTACCTTCTGTGTTTTCTCCCTTAATAAAGTTAATTTTTTCCTTATGAATAGGGGACAAGTCATATTTACCATTACTTTGAATACTTATATCAGTTTTTAAAGTTTGAAGTTCATTTGTAAGTGCCAGCTCCCTCTCATGTGACTTTTGAAGCTCTTCCTTCATTTGTTTGATAGAGTAGCAAATATCATCCAAATTTTCACAAAATCCATGCTTGAGAAAAGGCACAGTAATTTTGGATTTATCCAGAATTACTGTATCAGCTTGAGACATCACATTTTGAGGGGCAGTAGGTAGAAAACTATGAAGGTTATTATAATTCTTCAATGTTTCAGAATTATCTGAAGGGTTCACAATTACATTTAAAGATGAATTATCTGTTGAAGTTCTCAGAGTTAATATGTCCTTGAGATGTATCTGGGATGGAATATTTACATTTTGAGGAAGACTGTTAACATTATCACTAATGAATTTTTCTTCCACTGAATGAAGAGTCCTAGAATCTTCAAAATGATGCATTTTCTCCATAGAGAGGGTTCCTTCTTGATTCTCTATAGGCTAGTAACAATAAAAAGAATTCTATAAATGTACTGTCATTTGCCACACAGCCAGGAAATTAAGATAATATTTTGTGGAGGATTTATTTATACAACCAAAACAAGCATTTTATCCATTTCTACAGCCAAAAAAAAAAAAAGCCCAACAAGTATGATTCATTTTCTCTAGAAAATTTAACTACAGTTGTTTCGAGATCTGTAACTCTGGTCCTTCACAATTTCCTTAGAACTTGCACTTACTTCCTTAGGGGGTGAGATACATAGGCCAACCCCCCAATTTCAGAAATAGAAATTTAGCATCCTTCAAGAGACCACCATAGATAGGTGGGGAACATGGAAGCAATAGGTCAAATGGGAGTTTCAGGAAAATGAATATTTCCACTCCTGGGCTATGTGTCAACCTTAGCTTGCATTCCTATTTTCGGGTGATTTTAGGGCTGTGACTATCCTGAAAATGTGAATCAGTGTGGACACAGTGATGGTAACTCTGGATTGGAGCTGTTCCAGGGAATTCACCCCAGGTCTGGGTCAATCCTCAGTGAATAGATAGGCCATAAAAACTGCCTTGTATTTGAATTTACTTGAGAATCTTTTGATATCTGGACTAAATCAAATGTCCCTCACAGACTCTCTTAAGAGAAATGGGGAAATTGTGGAAGTAAACGCACATCTTTTAGGGTTTTCAGGACAGGAATTTCCTTATTTTTGTCTCTGATGGTCCATTCTTCCTGTAAAGAAGGGGAGAATGTAACGGTGAAGATAAACCAGTGGTGGTCACAGTTTTGAAGTACCTACATATAGAAATGATTTGTATAGAATAACATACCAAATCCTTTTCAATGCGTGAGCTGAATACTAGATTTTTGTCTGAGCTACATTGAGGGTTTTCTACTTCAATAATACTTTTGTTCAATATTTCACTGATTTCAGATTGTACCTTTAAAAGATAAATTGAGAATGTTAGAATTTGATTTCAGATTTATGAACTTATGAGTGTCTGGGGATAATAGATATTATAATTAAAAGATACCTTTAAATTTTC